GCTCATTTTTAAATTAGATCAAATAGTAAAGTAGTGACTCATATGCGATGTAATTACTATCACGCTCTCTCTCTCTCTCTCTCTCTCTCTCTCTCTCTCTCTCCGTCTCTGACTCGCGTACAAAAATTCAACCCTTTGAGCACATTCGTAATTCCAGAAACGGAAATCAACGGTGCGAATATACAATGGATAAAAATTTAGATCGATTAATTGGGAAACGAAGCGAGAAACAAAAAAAAAAAAAAAAAGAAAAAGTATATTGAGCGATATCGTTGTTACAATAGTTAATTGGCGCAAGCCGGGAAAAACCTTCGATAGTTGGAAAAATAAACGATACTCTATTGATCCGACTAAAGGACAATTTAAACAATTCATAGAATAACGAAAAGATAACTCGTGACACGACGGGAAAATTCTCTCGGGAAATTTTGACAAACTAGTCCACATCGTTCGCGTTAACGCTCGGTCTCGATGCAAATTCAAGCAAGGGAAAACTTTTGTATACAAGTTGATAGACAGGTTTATGTTCCCCTGCTCTAGGAAATCTATTAATGATAGGAGAATGTAAGTGGACGCCTTACAAATAATGAAAATTTCGATTCGATTATTTCGCGTAGTTTTGAAATTCAACGCGACGAATTTCAATGAAACATTCCTATCATCGTTTCAATCAGCTAATTATTGATAATATTTTGATATAAAAAAAAATGACTAATAAAAGATTACACGTCTTATTTGAATACGGAATTTAATTTGAAGAAATTTTCCATGTGAAATTATACGATTCCATATCGATATTATAACTGTAGCACTCGTTGTATGATAAACGAGATGATAAAATACGCGATTCTTATTTCAAATTCAATATTATTCCATTGTTTTCTGTCTACTCCCTTCGAAATTTTACTCCCTTAAATCTTGAAATTTGTCATAACTCTGGCGAAAGATAATCTACAAGGCACGCTTTACTTTATTTCACCCAAGATCTGCGATACTAACGCTACTTTTATATACAGCACATCCGAAAATGATGGCCTACGTGATGCAAGGCGGATTGCAGTCATTGCAGGAGGCAGTGCACTATTCTGTGCCGGTAGTCGCCATTCCCTTTTTCGGAGATCAACTTTTCAACGCACGTAAAATTCTAGATGCTGGTATCGGACTTACGTTGGACATCGATACGATCACCGAAGAATCCATCGTGCAAACTCTTACCAACGTCATAGAAAATAAAACGTGAGTGAATAACTCGTTTCATAACGATTTATGCAAATTTTCATTCGAGCGCGAATATTTAATTGATGAAACGTATATAATTGATACTATTTTTTACAGATATTATTATAACATCAAAGTGATGTCGGAGATTATAAAAGATGAATTGATAAAACCAATGGATCGTGCTATTTGGAATGTGGAACATGTGATTAAATTTTCCAAATCAAAACATTTTCGTTATTACGGTCACGATATCCCGTTGATCGATTATTATGGGACAATAGTAATCCTTAGCCTGTCTTTAATTTTGATAATAAAATGCTATTGTTTGATAATTAATATTTTTCGATTTAAATATTTCTCGATTAAATATATAAGAGACCGGATTAAGTTTTTTGTAAAATCAAAATATTCGAATAATTATGATATTCTCGATAAAAATAGATAATTATATTCTAGAAATTTATTATTATTATTATTACTAAGTTCAACGTATTTTTATCTTCTTTTAAATTTTCGAATAAATATTGTTAGTATCGTTTGTAAGAATTCTATTTTATTGTCTGTTGTTAAAACATTTAATAATTCAGGATGCTAAAAATATCATCAACAGATAAGTATGGAAAATTTATCAGAGTTACCATCATACGAGAAACAAAATGTCTATAATATCGACTATTTGAAATTATTATACCCATAGATGAAGAATTCCATAATATCTATTATCTCATAAAACTCTCATCATTAGGAAGAAAATTTTCATCATGAATTATAGTGTTGACATAAATTATAGATATAAGATAAATTTATAATATTATCATCTTATAGAATTTTGTCTCATGTATTCTGAAGTACCGACTTTAAAAAAATTTTTTACGCCCTCTATAATTTATTACATTTAGCAATTCCTATCTTTCATTAACTAACTAAAAAAGCAAATTTTTATTTTCGAATTTAAAACTTCTAAATTACAATTCCTAAATTATTCAAAAAGAATAATTATTTATTGTAACCAATAATAAATATCGAAATCTTACAGCAAAGAAGTTGTAAATTTAATTTATAAATTCAATCTATATAAGAATTAAACGATTCCTCCCTATTTATCGAAACAGTAAATGTTTGATTTATGAATCTAGAAAATTAAAACTTGATTTTATCTAGATGAAAATCTTCTATTAACAAGTCTCTAAAATTACATAACATTAACAACTCTATTAACAACTTTTGTCAATGAAGTTTTTTTAAAAATAAATATAATGGAGTATTCCCCCTTAAATGCTGTATCTTATATACATGTAAGACGGAAAATCTAATTTTTCAATATCCTATTTACCAAAAACCTAATTTTTGTACATAAAAAATAATATTCATAAATTTTACAATCAACTAAATGTTTCTAACAAAAAATTTAAAAAATCACATCCTATATATTACAATCTATAAAATGAAAAATAAGATTTCATACCTTTTTTTTGTCTTATTGGTTCCTGAAACAAACTTTAAAGAAAGATTTAATAAGATTATATAGAAAAAAATTTGATTTTATATAATATATGCTTCTTTCTTCTTTTATTTCCTTCATTGCACATCTGTAACAACTCAGATATTGGATTAATAATTAAAAAACAATTTATATTATATTATATATATATATAATTTCTTAAAAAGAAAACTAAATTATTAAAACATTTATGTAATTCATAAATGTTTTATTCATTTGTATCTTTTTAATACTTAAATACAAAAAGGAATTCTATAAAAAATAAAATACTCCTCAATAAAAAGCAAACTTATTATTTAACAATATTTTTGAAACAAATAGGAGATACTGAAAGAGAGAAAAAAAAAAGGAAAGATCGAATCAAAATAATCATCCACTCAATGTAAACCCGAAAAAACCGAGAATGGAATATCTTTCTTTTTTCGCAACGCTAAAATATTAAATTCACAAAAGCAATCGTGGCGAGTGTTTTATTATATTTGCAAATTAACAAGAAAAAAAAAAGCAAAAAAAAAAAACTGAAAATATTCCTAATAGGAATATTTTAATTATTGATACTACTAATTATTAATTTATACTCACTCATGTTTCATTATATATATATATATATATATATATATATATATATATATATATATATATATATA